GTGGTCACGAATCAGGCTGCTAACCTCAGGGTCAGCAGTTCGAAACTACCAGCTGTTCTGTGGGAGAAAGATGAGGCTTTCTGCTCCCATAAAGATTTACAGCCTTGGAAACCTTGTATGGGGTCACTATGAGTCGGAACCGACTCCACAGCACATAACAACAACAACAACAATACATTGAAAGGGCAAAGGAGTAGATTTGAATCAATGGAAACCCAAATTAGTGAACCTGAGGATAAATCTCTCAGTACTAGTAAACTCTAAGACAGTCAGAAAAAAGAAAGAAAAACTCCACAGAAACCCTAAGATTCATGTGAGAGACCAAACGCAGTAACTTAGGATTATCAGAATTCCAGAACATAAAGAGACAAAGAGCACAGAAAAAAAAAGAGTTTAGGAGCTGTTGGACTAAAACTTCCGTCATATGAGGAAAGCCGAGAAGATAGGCATACAAGATGCTGAATGAGCTCCAAACAGGATAGACCCCAAAAGGAAACCACGGAGACACACCACAGTCAAACTCCACTACTACTTTCAACTGATCTTTTTAAGATTTGGCGTTTTGTTCTACATTTTCTCCCACTCTTTCCAGGACCCTTTCAGAGCGACTGGTAGTGGCAGCCTGGTACCATTTAGTTCTAGTCTTCAAGATCCTGGACTGGTATTCACGTGGTCCACTAGCATACTGGCTTAATTGATTCCAAGCATCTTCAATTTAAGCTCTATTCTTTCTTCCGCACAGGGAGAGAAGGCTGTTTCTTTCAAATACGAAGTAGCCTTCTACTGCAAAAAAACCTCTTTAAAGTGTTCATGAGCACAGATGTCGGTTTGGTCACTAAGGTGAGCCTGACTGAAGCCATAGTATTTTCAATCGTCTCATATGCATGTAAATGCTGGGACAGTGAATAAAAGAAAAAGAAGGCCTTAGAAGAATTGATGCGTTTGAATTATGTTGTTGAAGAATACTGAAATTACCATGAGCTGCCAGAAGAACAAACAGATGTGTCTTGGCAGCAGTACAGCCACAAGACCCCTTAGAAGCCAGGATGGAGAGGCTTCTTGCTCATACTTCGGACACGTGATCAGGAGGGACCAGTTCCTAGAGAAGGATCCAGGCTTGGGAAAGTGGAGGGTCATTGAACAAAGAGCTCCCCAACGAGACGGACTGACACAGTAGCTGAGCTATCACAACTGTGAGGATGGCGCAGGACCAGGCCCTGTTTGTTCTGCTGGGCACAGGGTCACTATGAGGGGAAACCGATTTGATTGCACCTCACAATAACATCAAAAGCCTTCTTTAGGTTTTTCAGCATATTCTGTTGGATAGTATATATCTGTTGTTTATTTCTACCACTAGACAATATCCATGAATGCAGGGAAACATTTAATTCATGCTGGATTCCCTTCAACTACAACGGTCAGTGGGAATACGTCATAGAGTAGATACTCAAGAAATAGATGAATGATTTAAACAGATTTCTTCAAGATAAAGACATTATAAGGAAAGACCCTGTACTCAGCAGGATGTTTAAGTGGGCCAATCCCAACAATATAAGATAAGACAGATGTAGCCTCTCAAAATGAATTCTGCATTGAATTCAAACCAAATCAAATAGTGCTTTTGCAAGGACATCCGATCTGTAAAATCCTCACCAGTACTCTTGAAAAACCCTAAGAAGAAGAAATCCTCCATTTAGTTATTTCTAAACGGTTAACAGCATCTGAAGTTTATATAGTTGTTGTTGTTGTAATGTGCTGTGGAATCGGTTCCGACTCACAGTGACCCTGTACAGGGTTTCCGAGGCTGTAAATCTTTACAGGAGCAGAAAGTCTCATCTTTCTGCTGCGGAAAAGCTGGTAGTTTCGAACTGCTGACCCTGAGGTTCACAGTCCGATTCGTAACCACTACGCTATAGTAAGTGCCATAAATCAGACATTGAAGCAACAATTAAAAATCACTTACATGCTTTTCTTTAGATTTCACTTAATTAACTCTCTCTGCTGGAGGACAGTGGGGAAGAAAACTCTTTGGTATTCAAATAAAGTCTTATAATTCTGATTTTAGATAAACATCCCCCTTCAGTGCTTTCCAAATCTCACACATGAAGTTTCCACAGTCTTTTTCACTGAACACACGTAAGTGGAAGGCAGCTCTTAGTCATACTCATTCAAACTTTTAATCCCCCTTCAAAGTGCTCGGCGGCTAACTAAAAGGTCGGCAGTCTAAACCCACAAGCTGCTCTGAAGGAGTAAGACGTAGCCCTTAGAAACAGTGTGGGGCAGTCCTCCTCTGTCCTTCAGAGTTGTATAAGGTCATGATCACTAGGAATCCACTCCATGTCAAGGAGTTATTTCAGGATTTCGTTTTGTTGTTTTTAATCAATGATTGGTGTTGCTGTTGGTAAGTGCCATCAAGTTGCGTCCCACCCATAGCAACCCTGTATAGGGTTTCCTTGGAGCAGCTAGTGAGCCTGAACCACCAACATTGTGGGTCAAACCGACTTTGCAGTCCAGAGCATTAACCCACAGCACCACCCTGGACTCCAAATCAATGATTAAACATACAGAATTTTAACGATTTCTGGGTTATTTAAAAACATCCTGACAAAGCTGAAAGACAGGAAAATTCCCACATGATCAGAAATCACTGCCACTCTGAAATACTTCTAAGAGCTCTGTGTGTGTGTGTGTGTGTGTGCTCATTCTCTGATCAAACACTTCATAAACTGGGCAAGTAGAAAAGACAACTGAACAGAGCCACAACAGCATGCTGATCAAGTACATTGGTAATTGTTGTTGTTGTTAAGTGCCATCGAGTCGGTTCCGACCCATAGCGACCCTGAACAGGGTTTCTGAGGCTGTAATCTTTACGGGAACAGAAAGCCTCATCTTTCTCCAGCGGAGCAGCTGGTAATTACGAACTGCTGACCTTGCGGTTTGCAGCCCGATTTGGCAATTATGAGGTCTTAACTTACAAACTTTTTAAAACTGAAAACCAAGTTTAAGTTAAAAACAACTAAAACCAAATATCAGGGATATATATTTAAACACTGTAAAGGGAATCATGAAATTGAATCTGGGTATCTTTGGCTTTTGCACTTGCAGTGTGGCTCTGAATCAACAGGAAATGAATGGAATAATGCACACCAGGTGAAGAGAAGTCATGAGCGTCCTATCAGGGGAACACCCTTTGGGTACTGTAAACAACTTCCGTGAGGTTTTTGTAATAATCTCATACCAAGAATCATTTTATAAAGTTAGGAAGCGTGATGCTTTTTGCGAGGTGAGTTTTTTCTAACATATTGGGTATTCCATTGTTGTTATACAGTAGCTATGAGTTGAAACCAGCAGGGTCACCCATGGTGGACAGGTGTCAGTGGTGCTTACAGATGAGGAAGGAGAGAGACCACTTCTGAATGGCTAGCCTTTGAAAAGCTTATTAACAGTAGTGGAATACTGGCCTCCTGGTGTGGTGCTGTAGGATCAGCACAAGGTCAGCAGTTGAAACCCACCACCAGCTGCCCCTCAGAAAACCTATACAATGTCACTATGCGTAACCACTGGTCTGTCAGTTTGTTGTACGGTGGTGGCTTCTGCGTTGCTGTGATTCTGGAAGCTATGCCAAGAGAATTTAAAATATCAGCAGGGTCATGTTTCAGCGGAGCTTCCAGACAAAGGCAGACAAGGAAGGAGAGATGGACTCCTTCCAAACATTTAGTCACTGAAAACCTTATGAATAGCAGTAGAACACTGTCAGCACCACAATACTGAACACTGAAACATAATGAAGAGCACCAGAATATTGTCAGATAGAATGCCGGAAGATGAGCCCCTCAGGTTAGAAGGCACTCAAAAATACTACTGCGGAAAAGTTGCCTCCTCAAAGTACAGTTAACCATGACGACGTGAAGGGAGTAAAAGCCTTCAGGACCTACATTTGCAGATGGCGCACAACTCAAAATGAAGAGAAATAACTTAAATATCCATTAATAATCGGAGCATGTAATGTACAAAGTATGAATCTAGAAAAATTGGAAATTGTCAAAAATGAAATGGAATGCATAAACATTAATATCCTAGGCATTATTACTGAGCTGAAATGGTCTAGTATTGGCTATTTTGAATCTGAAAATTACATGGTTTACTATGCCAGGAATGACAAATGGAAGAGGAACATTTCAATATCTGTCATGATGCACAATACTGTCTGAGATAGGGCAATAGCCATGTGCCTACATGGAAGACCAGTTAATACCACTATCATTCAAATTTACGCATCAACCTGTAAAGCCAGTGAAGATGAAACTGATCAAACATGCAATCAAGATGTATTTATACTTACTGGTGACTGGAATACAAAGGTTGGAAACAAAGAAGGATCAGTAGTTAGAAAATATGGCTCCCCATTATACATCCGTCATTACAACCACACTGGGAAACCAAGTCTCCTTGGAACACTCGCCCTGTGCTTGAATGCATGCTCAGGGCAGCCCCACTGCTTAGAAAGGCCTCCTCCCTCAGTGTCACCACCACAACCCTTGTCATTCACCAAGTTCAATTCAATGCCATCTCCTCATTCAGTCTTCCCTGATCATTTCATTCCTCCATTGGTCTACCACCTGCAGCACCATCATAGTCCCTCCCTTAAAGGACTCACAGAAAGAAAGCACATCAACAGAATACAATGCACTGATTGTCTTCTCTGTTATAAGTTCCTGAAAAAGAGGGTTACAGTTTTGTCTTAGTCACCTCTTCATCCACTAATGCACCTTACAAAAGGGGATACAGACACCTGCTAAGTATTTATTAAACATTCAAACGTATGTTCTCCGTCCACTTTCCACAAAGGACTTGAATGGCATTCTGGCATCACAAGTTAGACTGTTCTCCTTCTGGTTACAGAAATCAACGGAAAGGAGTAACTCAGAATCTGAGATTTTAGATTCCACCCGAAAACGCGAACACACCCATTTCCTGATACACTGCAAGTGATTACCTACCTGAGACCATGGTCTGTTATCTGATAACATCCAGACAGACTGAGAAACAGAAGTACGCGGCCAGTCTCTTGCTCGGATTTCTCACTCCCAGAGAAAATGAAGTCTTGCCCCACTGGCCATCTAGTCCTTGATGCCTTTCTGCATAGCGCAGAGGACTCTGGGAGTGTGGACAGAGTTCTCAGGGCTGCTCCTGTGCAACAGAAGGAATGGCCACAGTAGGAAAAGGCGGGAGAAGCACAGTGCTGCTGCCAGCATCCACTCGTCCTTAGTCCAACCATGTCCTCACCGTAACACCCAGCAGTGGGACAGCTGAAGCCGGAGGCTGTTTCCACAACACAAAGACTTTCAACGTTTCTGTGTCTCCACTCCACAGCATCTTCAATGTCGGCCAAATCTTCGGCGTCTAGCATCCACACGTATGGAGAACGGAAAGTTTCAGGAGAAACCGACTTAGTCCAGGGGTGCTCATTATCAATTGCTTCTTCTTCGCCTTTATTCGCTAACTCGTGCAAACACGCATACGGCTTGGTGGACTGCACGGTAATGTCTTTATTCTTCCACGAAGTCGAAGTCATTTTGCTTTTAGACGTTGTCAAAAGGCCACTCTGATGTGATGTCAGGATCCCCAGAGCTCTGGAGATCTTCTCTAGAGCCACATCGGTGATTTTCTCACATCCAGACAGATCAAGATGCCGAAGACTCTGGCAGCAACCCAGCCAACACCAACTGCAAGTACAAGGAACAAGGACATCAGTGATCTTGTGAAACACTTCAAAGGCACTATATTATTTCAATGGAAATGTTAATGAGAAGGAAAATTCTCAATCTAATGTGACCACTCAAATATGGACTGAATGACTATTGTCAGTCACTGTTTTAAGTGCTAGCATATGAAAAGACCATAAAAGTAATAAGGAACTACCAGTATTGCTATGCTAACAGAAGGGTCTGACGGGAGAGCTTTAACTAAATGTATTCTCCTGACACGTAACCAACCAGTGGAGAAGAAGCTGCCCACACACGAAAGCGGACAACAGAAGAGCCAGAAGAAACCAGCTGTGGGAAGTAACTGACGGAGCCCTCGCTTCAGCCAGAGAAGAGCATCAGGGAGGAACTGACAGATGCTGAAAGGGGGCGGGGGGAGGTAGTTAGGAGAAGGCGAAATCAATAACATCCAAGGAAATATAATCTGACAAGAGTGTAGCTTGAAGACAGTGGTCCAATTTCAGAACATTTGTCAGGAAATACGAGAGAGCTTTGACAAACGGCATTAAAGCCCAAATGAACGTGAGCTTCTTAAAACTTTACCCTTGCAGTTGCTTACAAAATGTAAAGGCTTAGCTACAGGACAGGATAACACATTTGTTTGGTGTTGTGTGTTGTCAAGCTGTTTCAAACTGACAGTGACCCTGTTTAGGGTTTCTCAGAGGGGCTGGTGGGACTGAATTGCCAACCTTGCAGTTAACACTCCAGTGCCTATACTGGTAGAATATCACAGATATTTGAGATCAGTCGGTGCCTATGGACAACAGTAAAACAATTAGAGGGTACCATCAAGTTACAACAGAGTCCTGGTGTGGCGCTGCGGAATAAAGCACTGAACGGCAAGGTCGGCGTTCAAACTTACCAGCCACTCCTTGGAAACCTTATACAGGGTCAACTATGAGTCAGAACCAATTCGATGGCACTTAACAACAAATCAAGTTACAAATGAGCCCTGATGGCATAGCAGAGTAAGCACTGGACCACTAACTGAAAGGCCAGAAGTTCGATCCCACCAGCCACTCCTCAAGAGAAAGGTGAGATTTTCTGCTTCTATAAAGACTGACAGCCTCACAAACCCTCACCAGGGTCACCATGAGTTGGAACCAACTTGATGGCAGTGGGTTTGTTTGGGTTTACCAAGTTACAATCATACACAACTAAGATATGGTAAGTAAGAAAAGAACAGTTGGATCAAACTGCAAGCAAGTACTTAAGACACCAGACAATTCTATTTTCTTTCCAAAGCATTTGGATCCATAAAAGTCACATTTTCATGGTCAGAAAGAACTAACCTGTCAAATGCAGAGTCTGAGATGTCAGTCTGGGTGAGGTCCAGATGCTCCAGGTGAGGACAAAGCTCTAAAATCCGCCTGACCTAGAAGGGAAAAGTCACCATGAAGACCTGCAAAGACTCCTCGGTAGGTCCCAGATGGTAATGATTAGCCAGTGAGATCACCCGGTGATTCGCAAACCTTTGCACATGCGAAAATCACCTGGAACATGCATGTAAAAATCCATATTCGAATTCCCAAGAATCAGAGTAAGTCATTGTGGGGTTGGGCCTAGACACTGACATTTCTGAGGGATACCTTAAGAGGGACAGAGGCCCAGGATACACTTTTATCAGACAGGGAACTTCTCTCATTTGCCCATCTTACCAAGCCTGACACATTATGAACATCTGTAAAACATCTGCAAGAGCATCTTGAACCTCATCGATAGCACACAGACAGTGACGTCAACAGTGCAGCGACGGCTCGAGAATGGAAATGAAATATATATGGAATTTGGCTGTGCACGCCCACCCATGGGAAGGCACTCAATTAACAGCTGCCAAGAACTTTTTTCCCCGTAATTAAACTTGGGCATAAGCAAACGCAAATTCTATCATTGTGACTTTTTCTTAAAACCCACACCAGTGCAAGGTCATACATACCATTTTGCTGGACACTGCGGAGCTGTATGCTAATACTAAGGTTTTTACAGAAGGGCCAACATATGGTAGAACATTATGAATTAAGCCGTGGAGTAAACGTTTTTCCATCTGTGCAATGCTGATAGCAATCGATTCCTCAGCACACTCCTCTGTAAAAGGAATTCAAAAGTCTCAGAACTAGATATGCTAATTATCATTAGCAGGGTTCTTCAAGGAACCACCAAAGCATTCCATATGAAATGACGTTTGCTACCACCTTAAACTTCCTTATGTAGATGAAGCAAGATAAATGTAGGGCTTAATAGTTAACAAGTCTGACATCAACTGAAAGAGACAAAAGAGTTTTAGAAAAGGATTAAGGTGTAGATAAGGGAAACATTTTACTTTTTTTGTTTTCAGTATTTAATTCAAAGTAAGTGTTGTTGATATTGTTGTTAAGTGCCACAGAGTCAACTGCGGCTCATAGCGACCCTGCCCAGGGTTTCCACAGAGGGGAGCCAGCAGTCCCGCATCACTCTACAGTGAGCGCCACACCAGGGCTCCAGTTCCACAGGATGACTAAGGAAAGTCTCTACTGTAAACATATTTGTCAAAATGAATTAAGTAGAGGTGGGAAAGATAAACTTCATTTTCAGGCAATGAAAACAGTTTTATTTATTTATTTTGGAGAAAAACTGCTTCGAATATTAAAATAACAGGTAGAAGTTCTTCAACAGAATATAGAATATCAAAAGGAAAATGACCCATAACCAAAACATTCCGGCAGTAATCTCATATAACTAAAAAGGGTGCAGAGCTAGAAAATATTTAAAATTTAACTAAATAAGATTAATCATAATGAATCAAGCCAAGAATTTTTAAGAAGCTAAAAAGGATCGTGACTTTTACTTTTTACTTAGTATTACTTCTGCAGAGCATGGATATTTAAAGCAAAATACAATAAAGCTATAAAACCATAAACCAAAAAACCCTGACCACCACACTGCTTACAATGCCAAGAACCAACTACCTTCACCACCCTCCTCAGGATCTTATTGCTTGCTGCAACGTTTACCTGAAGACCTGATGTGAAACATCTCTAAATATGAAATACGTTAAATTCTTTAACAGAGTAAACTAACGAAATCTCCTTTAAAACAAAACAACATAAATGCCAAAAGGGATGTAAGTGGAAGGAACCATTACAAAATTAATGGTTCTGTGTTTATGGATACTACCTGAAGCTTCTCATTACCTTAGACATATCTGTGTATAGGAGGTCAATGACTAATTGTGAGGTTGGCAGTTCAACTCTACCCCAGAGCAGCCTCTGAAGACAAGTCTCAGCCTTGAAAACCCTGTGGAGAAGTTCTGTTCTGCACACCCGGGCTGCCGGGAGCCAAAAGTGGATCCACAGCGACCATGACCACGCCCACCGCCACTAATAGCCCACACCAATCTTCTCTACCTGTGGCCCTCTCTAGCTGAATAGGAATTGTTTGGTGTACATATGAGTGGCTATGAGTCGGGCTGCTAACCTCAAGGTCGGCAGCTCGTAACTGCCAGCCGTTCTGCGGGAGCAGGTGAGGGTTTCTGCTCCCATAACAATTCATAGCCTCGGAAACCTTATAGAGGGTTTCTATGAGTTAGAACCGACTCCACGGCACACAGCTACCACCACCAGGGTCACATCTGAGCAAAGACCTCATCTCCTTCAGGTCTTTGCTTACATTTCATGATCTTAGGGAGCCTTCACTGATGATTCAGATTACAACTGCAACTCCTGTCTTCTCTCTCCTGCACCCTTCTCACCTTTATCTTGCCTCACAGGACCTGTCATCATCTAACATTGGATATATGAGTCTGTTGTCGGCTTGGGGGGCTGTAGGATAAACACTAGACTGCTGGCCAAACAAAAGGCTAGCAATTCAAATCTACCAGCCACTCCTTAGAAACCCTATTTACGGGGTCCCTAACAGTCGAAATCTACCAGATGGCACTTACAAACAACAAACCAAATTGTCTGCTTCCCCTCTTCAAATGTTAAGCTCTAAAAGACCAGGGATTGTTGTCTGCTTTGTTCATCGTCATATCCCTTATGCCTGGAGCAATGTCTGACACAATGTAAGCTTTCAAAAACTATCTGACGAATATGATCTAACACATTAAATCCACCCGGAATAGCCTTCTTGATATATCACTTCCAAAGCTATGCCAAAATACGTCATCTTCATTGCAGCTCCAGAAATAATCTTTATATTTACTTTGCAAATGTAATCTTTACTTTCCAAATGTTTCGTTTTTGTGCCGTATCAACTTTTTAATAAATTGGGCAGTTTTAGAAATAATAATTCTCTACAGTTTGTTTTATCAAATAGCAAGGCCTCATCTGCTCATTTTTTATTATTATTATCTAGAATACTATCTTAAACAGAATGTATGCCTTCCTCCTTCTGGTCCCTGCTCTTCTAGTTCAGCATTTCTCATTGCCTCCTATGCAAAACCTGGACAGTTAAGTCCAACAGACCACAGGACCGATGCATTTGAATTACAGTGCTGGTGAAGAATATGGGTAACAGCATGGCCTGCCAGAAGGAACACAGCTGTATTGAGAAAAAACACCGTCAGAATGATGCCCTGAGCATGTTACCAGGAGGGGATCTGGAAAAGGACAACACACTTGGCAGAGTAGAGGGTCAGAAAAACAGAGGAAGACCCTCCACAGATGGACTTACACAGTGGCTACAACAAGACTCAAACACAGTCCTAAATCGGAGGACAGTGCGTGACTGGGCAGTGCTACCTTCTGTTGTACATGGTCATGGTGGTTATGTGCTGTGGAGTCGGTTCCGATGCACCATGACCCTGAACAGGGTTTCCGAGGCTGTAAGCCTTTATGGGAGCAGAAAGCCTCATCTTTCTCCTGCAGAACAGCTGGTAGTTTCGAACCACTGACCTTGAGATTAGCAACTCAACTCTACCATAGGTTTGCTATCAGTTAGAACGAAATCATCAACCCTCACCACCATCACCACTACGAATTAATTAAATTAGTATGTATTCTAAATTCTTCCCAGCTTGACTATGAGTTCCCTAAGAGCAAGAACAGTCTTCATCATCCTTGATTCTCTCACACTCAACACTGATTAATGAATGGCTACACGAGTCCCGGAGTCCTGGTGCGGCGCTGTGGGCTAATGCAGCAGACTGCAAAGCCGTGTGAACTGCAAAGTCTGCAGCTGGAGTTCACCAGCTGCTCCTCGGAAACCCTACACATGGTCACTATGGGTCGGACATGACTCAGTAGCACTTAACAACAACAACACTATATTAGGAGTCCTGGTGCAGCACTGTGGGCTAATGCGTCAGACTGCAAAGTCTTTTGAATTGCAAGGTCGGTGGTTCAAGCTCATTAGCTGCTCCTTGAAAACCCTATACAGGGTCACTATGGATCGGAATCGATTCTACGGCACTTAACAACAACACTGTATTTTATAATCCCTTTATATTTCTAAAGAATCTTCTCCATATATTACTTCTGAACTATATATTATTCTATATGTTGTTGTTGTTGTTGTTAAGTGCCGTGGAGTTGGTTCCGACTCACAGCGACCCTGCACAGGGTTTCCGAGGCTGTAAATCTTTACGGGAGCAGAAAGCCTCATCTTTCTCCCGTGGAACAGCTGGTAGTTTCGAACTGCTGACCTTGCGGTTCGCAGCCTGATTCGTAACCACTATGCTAACAGAGCTCCTTATATATACATATAGTAACTGTATAATATATAGTAATTCTATATATTACTCTAAAACAGCCTGTGAGTCAAGTGGTCTGTTTACAGATGAATAAATAGATTCAATGACTTCACGCTTCCTCCTTCAGGACACAGGAATTCAAAATAGGATGCTGAATTGCTGAGCAGTGACGGCATTCAGCCAACTGTACAGCATCGCTATGGGAGTGCATTACTTGTGGAAGGCAAACAGGCATCAGGCCTGATTTTATGATTTTACAGATTTTCATGTAAACCCTAAGCGTGTTTCATTGTCAATTTGCATGTGATTCCCGCACATTTTTTAAGTCATAGGTTTAAAAACACCAGCATCTCCCAAAAACACAAAATAAACCACATCACCAATACTAATAATCTGCGTGCCTGCTTAAGAAATGTAGCAGCCATTATTAAAAGGCCGTTTAGTAACTTCCACCCCAGGCATGGCGTACCTGACTCATCGATGTCGGCATCTTCATCCCACTCCTGAAAAGCACGGCTTTCATCCTTTCTGTGCTTCACCCACTCCTCGTCGGGTTCGGTGTCCACTTCACCTGCAGGACCACTGTACCAGTCACCTACTCAGTGAGCACACAAATAAAACCAACAAATTAGGCTGGCTAGCGTGACCCGCAGCGAAACGCCTCTTTTTAAATCACTACACCAGGAAACTATCTGAGGCTTAGTGAGCCCTAGGCACTGGGCCAGCTCTTTCTAGAGACATTCAATGGTGTTTAAAAAAAATTACACTTAAAAGACAAAAACAGACTGAAAGGAACGATGAATGTGATATTCATTAATTCAGTAACAGCCCATTTTTTCTAAAGTAAATCATTCTCATTAAAGTCATGCCAAAAATAATAAGTGAAAAAACATTACATGATATGCATCTACTATGTATCTATTCTCTAGTCAAACAGCTTTCTAATTTTCTCTTTTACAGATATCAGTTTCATGGTTATAATCCCAATTCTTGTGAAACTAAATAAGTACATCGAGAGTATTACAAGCAATGGCACTGGTTAACAGCCTGCCGCCTTCTGCTACTGTGTGGCAGTATTCTCACTATCCGACAGCTAATCAGCCCTGGCATCAGGACTCCCGCTCCAGAGCCCACCAGTCAGCAGTACTGAAGTAGGGGGAGGAGAAGAGTGAAGGTAAAGCTATACTACAAAGAGATCCTGGAAAATGCACTGCAATTCAATTACATCATCACAGAGTGACAGACAACGAAGAATTCACTTAGGGACTCTCAACATTATACCTAGATCGGAGTTTCTCAGCCTTGCTATTGCTGATGTTTCCTACCACGTAAATCTTTGTGTGGAGGGTGTTCAGCGACAACCTTGACCTCTGCTCACAAGATGACAGCACCCCTCCCTACCCGCCTCAACCCCGCAGTGTGCCAACCACAAATATCTCCAACATTTCCAAGTATCTCCTCGGAAGTAAAATCAATCCCAGATGAGAACCACTGAAAACAACTATCACCTCGCCAGGAATTGTGGATCGCAGTAAAAAGCGAGCTCTTGTAGCTCTTGAGTACTTTTCATGATGTCAGTGTAGCACCGTAAACGGTGAATACCACCACAAGACCCACATGAAGTGCCACGGTGATGTTGGAAGTGCGCTCAAGAAGCAGAGAAAAGTCACGACGGGACAGCAGGATAAAGCTGAACTGCCTGCTATCTACCACAGACAGGTCTACAGCGGCGGTTGCCTGCCATTTCCAGATCTAGACATCCAGTGTAAAAATCATTGGAAAAGGCCACCTGTGAAACCTATGCTGCAGCTATACCAGCAGACGTGGACACCTTGCACTTTTGGGGAAACACCCTTTTATCTCATAATGAAAATGCAGCTTTTACGTGGGTACAGAATATAATACAGCGCTGTTGCTGTTAAGTCAGTTCTGACTCACAGTGAGGAGCAGCTGTATAGGGTTTCTAAAGTTCTGGGTTTGAACCGCTGACCTATGGTTAGTAGTTCAGTGCTGATCCTATTGTACCACTCAACTCCACAGAATACATTGTTGCTGTGTGCTACCAAGGCAATTCTAACTCCCAGCAACTCTGTATGATTTCCAAGAGCAGCTGGTGGGTTTGAACCATCGACCTTGTGGTTAACAGTCCAGTGTTTATCCTACAGCACCACACCAGGGTTCATATAATATATGTTATTGTTGTTAAGTGCCGTCAAGTCGATTCCGACCCATAGTGACCCTGTATAGGGTTTCCAAGGAGCAGCTGGTGAGCTTAAACCGCCGACCTTGCAGTTCAAATGGCTTTGCAGTCTGGCACATTAACCCACAGCGCCACACCAGGACTCCCATATAATAATATATGGTGGTGGTGGTTATGTGCCGTGGAGTCGGTTCCGACTCATAGCGACCCTGTACAGGGTTTCCAAGGCTGTAATCTTTACAGGAACAGAAAGCCTCATCTTTCTCCCACGGAAAAGCTGGTAGTTTTGAACTGCTGACCTTGAGGTTCGCAGCCCGATTAGTAACCACTACGCTACCAAAGCTCCTTATATAATATATAGTACACACAAAATATGTGTTACTCAACTATTTATGTTCACTGGGAAGGCTTCTTTAACTGTAGGGAATTAGTAGCTGTGTTTTTGGGATTTTCGACTGTTCAGGGGCACCCCCAACCACTGCATTATTTCAAGGGTCAACTGTATATTTAAAATTTGATTCACTTCATGAAAGTCTAGCACTGCATTATTATATTTACTTTCATCAAACAGCATCTAATTAAGTACTGGTTCTTTAAAACAAAACATGTTGTTATTGTTATGTGCCAATGAGTCGGTTCTGACTAATAGTGACTGTGTATAGGGTTTCCGAGGAGCAGCTGGGTTTGAACTGTCAACCTTGCGGTTAGCAGTCAAGAGCTTATCCTACAGAGCCATACCAGGATTCCAAAACAAACAAAACTGAACAGAATAAGTATTTGGTAGTTCATATTTTCCTTATTTGGCTTTTCATCCAGTATTTTATTATCCTATAGTATCCTGTAACTAACAGGGAGTTCTGGTGTGGTGCTGTGGGTTGATGCGCTGGACTACAAACTAGTTTCAACAAGCTCACGAGCCACTCTTTGGAAACCCTATACAGGGTCGCTATGGGTGGGAACAGACTTGACAGCACTTAACAACAACATAACTAACAGGGGAGTTACAGGCGTGGCACTGTAGGATAAGCAAAGAACCACAAAGTCGGCAGAGTTCAAATCCACCAGCTGCTCCTTGGCAACCCTATATAGGGTTGCTATGAAATGGAACCGACTTGTCGGCACTAACAACTACAACAACAGCTAACAGGATAAATAATTCCACATAAAAACCACAACTTTAGTTATTTGAATCTTGTATATAGTTTATACATTGACCTAATAAGGAGCTCTGGTAGCATAGTGGTTACGAATTGGGCTGCGAACCACAAGGTCAGCAGTTCGAAACTACCAGCCGTTCCATGGGAGAAAGATGAGGCTTTCTGCTCCCATAAAGATTTATAGCTTCAGAAACCTTGGACAGGGTCGCTATGAGTCAGAACCGACTCCATGGCACATAACCAACCAAATACTCCAATGGTTTCAGTCAAAACCTATAGAACATTCAACTGCACCTTAATTTTTAAATGCTTTAAATGTTAAAAAAAAAAAAAATCAGACTCACTAAAAAAAATGTATAATTATGTGAGAAATACATATTTTCATGCCAAAGTCACAAGTAGAAAACTATCCAAAAATGTGATACGGATTCAGAGGTGAATACTCCCCTACAGCAATTACTTGAAGGCATGTCACATTGCTACATTTATCCCATGACTGCACTGTACACTCATGAAAAGAAAACGTCAGTGCTCACAAGCCCAAAGCAGCTCACTGCCAGAACCTCAGCAGTCCCAGGAATAACAGCGACAAAGGGAATGCCACAGCTGGACTCACAATCATTCTGAAGCACCACCAAACGGGAGTCAGAACCATGATCCAAGTTTAACTTCACAGAAATAATTCATTTTCTAGTACTTAAATACTCAAATAGTCAACTTTTAAAGTCGCCCCTACAGGCTATTTACTTTATATTTAACTTTTTGCTACACAAAACTCCATCACAGTCAAAAGTAGAAAGAATTCTCATGATTGTACCCCCAAAGTACTCACGTACAATTATGACTATTTTAGTTTTTTTTTCTCATTCCCTCCCCACCAACTATTTTTTCCTAATTATTTTAAAGGAGATTTCAGACAATGTGCAGTTCACCCATGAATACTCAATATTGTTCAATACTTTTTAAAAACATAACCCAAGAACATACTGTCTATGAAATCTACTTACAGGTCAGCCTCTCAGAGTTTCCCTCTCTGGTCTTCCCTGTTAATGCCTATCTATGAATGCTCACTGACAGAAACAGGACCGTATTTACAAAGGAACTCAAGTCCCCTGTACCCACCTCTGGCCCAGTGAACGGGGTAAAGATGTTTCCACAGCGATCCCGTTTTTGCCAGCTGAGCCCACTTGGAGCTTACTTGGCTGCAGCGACACAATTCCTGAGGGTTGAGGTAACTGAAGATAGACAGCATCACTTCTGGAGGAAGGTGGCTTATGCTCGTGGAGGGTTCGGAAACTTCCGCTTCTGAAAGAAAAAAGGAAAAAGAGGAACAAAACTTTCACTTCCAAGGCTCTAAGAGCAAATGCAAAGATGTTCCCATTGTATTTCTAGAAACAAAACCCAGTGCCTGGAGTCAACTTCATCCAGCTTACAAGACGTGAAAAGGGAGAAACATGGAGCCGAGGCAACATGGGGATGGTACATGGAGAAGGACCATCAGGTGAAACGATTATGGCCCAGATGGCCCGTCATCAATGGGAGAGACACTCGTGAACAAAGAAATGACTTCCTCTTACAAAGACAGCAGAGGAAAAATAAAACCAACAAGACTTACTTGGCAACCTAAGAAGCATCATTTGAAAAAGGCACCAAACAGGTTATACAGCTTTACGTCAGAGGGCAGTTCACTTCAAGTTGTCTCTGAGGCATGGGGAATGACCCACAAGGCTCCCAACATTCTCCGTTCATGCGTCCTGACTCCTGTCATAAGGGCCTATCTTCTGATTGCTCTTTGATGTCCACACCTCACACAACAGGTCAGGGAGATCTCGTTAAACTACAGGTGTCCTCACCTGAGACCAGCACTCCTGGTGACACTGTTTTCATGCTAACAAGGACAACATAACCCGAATACTTTGGAAGCTGGTATACATTCACCAAGGGTCCCTGGTGGAACAGTCATTAAGTGCTTGGCTGTGAACTAAAAGGAGGGCTGTTCAAACCCACCAGCTACTCCATGAGAGAAAAGACCTGGCGATCTGCTCCTATAAACATGACGACCTAGGAAAGGGCACGGGGCAGCTCCACCTCTCCTTAGTCACTGGAGTTGGAACCGACTGGATAGCACAGCAGCACCAGAGCACTGCCTTCATCAGAAACCTTCTCTCAGCAGCTACTGTAGAAAGCAGCTGTTAAAGGAACACTTGGCTGTATTAATGGGGCAGCAATTTTCAAGAAAAATACAAATGAGGTGTTATAATAAAGAATTTAAAAGATAAAAGCTTTATTGTTAAAGTACTGTGATGACATACTTTCTAATTCTGACTATCACACAAAGCAACCTAAATATAGCAATGCTATGATCAAATTGGAAGGAGCTCTGGTAGCGTAGTGGTTACGAATCGGGCTGCGAACCACAAGGTCAGCAGTTCGAAACTACCAGCAGTTCCTGTCGGAGAAAGATGAGGCTATCTGCTCCTGTAAAGATTTACAGCTTCGGAAACCCTGTTCAGGGTCGCTATGGGTCAGAACCGACTCGACGGCACTTAACAACAACAACAACAATGATCAAATTGGAAGCACGGTATCTTTTTAACAATAAACACTGGACTGCAAACAACCCACAAGGTCCAAGGTTTGAGCCCACCAGCCACTACTGCATGGGAGAAAGATGAGGCTTTCTGCTCACCAAAACATTTAAGTCTCAGAAAACTTATACAGGGTCACTATGAGTTGGAACCAACTCCACAGCACTTAACAACTCCTTTTTAAATGGCAAATATTCTTAACAAAATACAGCCACAATTTGCTTTGAAGGAACAAGAAAACTAAATGTAGTAAGAGTGATGCTTTTGAGTTGCATGTTATAATTACAATTAAAGCAGACACAACAAGTCTTAGCTTGGTGTCGCGAGCACAAGCTGCAATTCAGAGGAAGGCATATGAGCTTTATGGGTTTAATTATAGCTTCATTTATAAAGCCATTTTTGTTTCAACATGCATGTCACCTGAATACTTTGTTGAAGAAAATAAAAAGAATTGAACCAAGTTTTTTAAAATTCTAGGGTATGTTATTAACAAAAATGCCATTGTTTTCCTCCCTCCAAGAAGAGAAATTTTTACTGCTTTTTTTTTTTTAACCAACTGCTTTTTAAATGGTCTTTTAAAAGGCAGTAAAGCTGTCAAAGATAAATGAGAATAAAAACAAGGAAGGGGTCTATCAGGAAAAAAATGGCAGGCATGCTTTGCTTTGCTCCTTCATTTTACCAGGGTAACTGTACCTCACCAAGCATCTCAAACTCACTTCCCCTGGGCATTACTGGATATAAACTGAGCAAGAATCACACATGCGTAAGGACAGAGTTCAAACTGTAAGCATGTTTCATATGTATCACAACAAAACTGTAAAAATTATAAGCATAATTAATCAATATTGAAAACCAAAGAAAAGAAAATAAGCTGCTATGGTAATGTCCTGGTGGCACTGTGGATTAAGCATTGAACCGTTAACTATAAGGTTGGTGGTTCAATCCCAATAGCCGTACCTTATGAGAAGGATGACTCTGTCTGCTCCTATAAAGATTTATCTCAGAAAGCCTATACAGGGTCGCTACGCACTGGATTCAACCCAATGGCAGCGGGCTTGTTTTTTGGTGGGACTTATGTTCAGTGGAATGCAAAATGCTAGATGACACTGCAAAAGTGTTATATATGAGGGGGGTACAGAAACTTCATGGAAAAATGGGATTGAATGATAATGGAACATTTCCACAGACTTTCTGAAGCCCCCTCACATATGGCAGTTTTCAATTACTCTGATTGGCCAAGTACGGAAATAGTAATACTAATACTAGTTGTAGTTAAGTACTATTGAGTCGGTTTTAACCCATAGCGGTTTCTGAGGAGCGGCTGGTGGGTGTGAACCATCGATTACATGGTTCAAACTGACCTTGCAATCCAGCACATTATCCTAAAGCACTACATAAGGACTCCCATACTTGTAGTGGTGGTGGTATGCCATGGAGTTGGTTCCAACTCATAGCGACGCTGCACAGGGTTTCTGAGGTTATAAGTCTTACGGGAGCAGAAAGCCTCATCTTTCTTCCATGGAACAGTGTATAAATGCATTCATTCAAGAAACATATTGCATGTGGCCTGGATATGTTCTTGTTATGTGCTGTCGAGTCGATTCCAACGCATAGCACCGCTACAGCACAGAACAGAACTGGCCCATACAGGTTCCCGAGGCTGTAATCTTTCTGGGAACACGCTGTCAGACCTTTTCTCCCAGGAAGAGGCTGGTGGGTTCCATCTGCCAATCTACTGGTTAGAAGTCAAGTGCCACTATATCACCAAGACTTCTGGGCCCACATATGAGAAATGTCAAATGATCACAAACAGAAAACAACAACAACAAACTCATTACCAGTTGATCCCAACTCAAAGCAACCCTACAGGTCAGAATCAAAGTGCCCCAGTGGGTTCCCAAGGCATACATCAGACTGACACACCCTTCCCTGATGGCGAGGCTGCCGGGTTTAAACACTCACCTTTAGGGTTAGCAGACAAGAGCTTTAGCTGCTGCACACCAGGGCTCCTTTAAATTCTCATGCTGTTGTTGTTAAGGGCCAGTTCTAACTCATGGTGACCCTGTGTAGCATTTCTCAGGAGCATCTGGTGGACCTGAACCACCATTAGCAGTCCTACAATGCCACCCCAGAACTCTGTAAATGATCACTACTGCTGCTGTTCAGAGCTATTGAATCAATTCCGATTCAGAGACTATATAAGGTTTCAGAAGAGCTGGTGAATTTCAACCACCAACCTTGCGGTTAGCAAGCCAGTGCTTATCCAACAGCATCACACCAGGACTCCTTAAATTACCAATGTCTACACAAAATATGACCATAACTATATACTACCTGAATTTCGAGATCATCTGAAGAACAGATTTGATGCATTAGACACTAAAGAAGGAAGACCAGAATTGTGGGAAAACGTCAAGATCATCATACAAGAAGACAGCAAATGGTCATTATGAGCACAAGAAAGAAGGAAATGACCTAAATGGATGTCAGAAGAGACTCTGAAACTTGCTCTCCAATATAGAGATACTAAAGCAAAAGGAAGACATGAGGAGGTAAAAGAGCTGAATATAAAACTTCAAAAGGCAGCTCAAGAAAACTAAATCAAATATTATAAAGAAATGTACAAAGACCTGGAGCTTAAAAACCAAAAGGGAATAATACGCTCAGCATTCCTCAAGCTGAGAAAACGGAATAAAAAAATCCAAGCCTCAATTTGCAATACTGAAAGATTCTATTGGCAAAATATTGAATGATGCAGAAAAACTCCAAAGGAAGATGTAAGGAACATAGAGTCACTATACCAAAAATAAATGGTTCGTTCAAACATTTCAAGAGGTAGCCTATGATCAAAGGCCAATGATGCTGAAGGAAGAAGGCCAAGGTGCACTGAAGGCATTGGCAAAGAACAAGGCTCTGGGAATTGAAGGAATACAAATTGAAATCTTTCAACAAAGTGACACAGCACAGGAGGCACTCACTCATCTCTGCCAAGAAATTTGGAAGAAAACTACCTGGCCGACTGATTGGAAGAGAGGTGACCCATTGGAATATGGAAATCATCAGACAATATCATTAATGTCCCATGTGAGTAAAAAAAATTTTTTTTTGAAGTTGTCAATATCCTTTTAATTGGATCCACAATCAATGCACACGGAAGAAGTGCTCAAGAAATCAAATAACATTGCATTAGGGAAAATATGCTGAAAAAAAAAAAAAATTTTTTTTTTTTTTTTTAAATTGTCAAGAATTTCATTTTACTTGGATCCACAATCAGTGCCCATGGAAGCAGCACTCAGGAAATTAAACAATGTATTGCACTGGGCACATCTGTTGTAAATAACCTCTTAGAAGTGTTAAAAAGATTCACAATAAAACATTTTTTAAAAAGTGTTAAAAAGCAAAGATGTCACCTTGAGGAGTAAAGAGTACCTGACCTAAGCCACCATATTTCAATGGAAAACTTCCCTAACATCACCAAAGTTTTCTCTGTGCTTGTCTCTTCCTGTTCTGGAATTCTGATCGCCCACAACTGTTCCTCTTCATGGTGTCTCATATAACTCTATGGCTTTCTTCGGATTTTTTCAGTTATTTTTTCCTTATTATTTTTCTAGTATACTAGTATTGAGAAATTTCTCTTCACGCTCACTAATTAGGGCTTCCATTGCTTCACATCTACTCCTTTGCCCTTTCAATGCATTGTCCATTTCTGAGATCTTCTGGATTTCTAATTGCAGGTTTTGTATTGTTTGTTCTTATAGCATTTTCTTGAATTCTTCTAAAGCTTTTATTGTGTCCTTGCTTTCCTTGATCTTTCTATTGATCCTCTGAAGGTATCTGGTTATCATTCTTTGAATTCTTTTTCAGTTAGTTCTATTGCCTTTTCTTTCTCAGAAACATCTTCTGGCTCTACATCTTGGTCATTTGTTTAAACCATTCTCTCCTGTTTCTTTGTGTAAGCTAAAATTCTCTGTTGTCTCTGGGGCCTTATGAGGTTGTCCGGGTTTGTAAAAACAAGCAGTGCAGTTGTTGGATCCAAAGGGAGAAGTCTCTGGGGGGCTTCTGCAATTCAAGGAGCTCACAAGGTGGTTTCGGAAAGGTAGTGACAAGAGACTTCTTTTTTTGTCTTCATTTCAAACACCTTTTTTTGTTTAAATGCTTTTTGTGAATTATGTGATAGTTCACATGGGAGGACATCAGCTTCACATTGATCCCATCACACATTGTTTCCTTGCCATGGTTACAATCCCCTCCATGCATCATCGACCAACCAAAGGGTACACCCCGCAAGCCTGCCCACCTGTCATCCGCACACCGCCCCTGTCCCTCTCCAGGTCCAAAGTCTCCAGCCGCTCCGTCTCCCCATGTCATCGTCTCTGCCTCCATCCCTGGCATCACTGCTTCTCTGGGTAGGGTTCCGTTCTCTGCTCTTCTCCTTCGATGGTCCCAGGGACCTCTGTTCCTAGACTGTAAGGTTAATCACTCCTCTTCCTTTGCCCCAAAACGTCCACCCTTACATTTCCAGCCCTTACTATCAGTCCTGATGACAATTATTTGCTACTGTATCACAAGGGACCTATCTGCATCTCCTTTTATCAGCCCTGACTAGGCAGAATAGATACCTCTCAGTGGAGATTCCACCTTGCTCCATGCCCTCTGAATCTAGGTTCCCTCTTGAAAGCTTGTAAGCCAGTCACTTCTTGCCTCTGTAGCACCCTCATTCTGGGTAGCCAATGTCCAAGTTGCTCATCCCTGTCCTCTCTGTGTGTGGTGGAGGTGGGAATGATCCTCGCTGTGAAGATTTGTTCACTCTCTTTGAGCTACTGCTTCCATAGGTGTAGGTCAAGTTCATCAAACTGTGTCAGATTCTTCTTGTTTTTCCCTCTTCTTTCGTCTTCTGTTTGAAATCTGATCATCCAGCCATTGTGGCCAGGTCAAGTGGGTATTATCTGCAAGTGTGGGTGTATTTATGCATGTGCCCTCTCTTCTTATCAGCTGGATGCTTCACTCTTCACTCTAGTCCTCTGTGGCCATGTCACTGTCTTTGGGTCCAAGAGTCCCCTGGACTTGGCACACTGCTGGCCAACGAGGTCTCCAGCCGGGTTTATCAGAGTCTATTGAGTGTTGCAGGGCTTAGTTCGTGGCTTCATTGCTGTTTTTCCCTCACTTCCCCTTGTCGGTGACAAAAGTGGTCACCAATCAGAGCATGCATTCCCATTAAGCCTTAGTCTTAGAAGGGGGTTTGCCTTGAGGGGGACCCAACCACTTGCCTTGATGTCTCCTGGGTGATCCACTTGTTTGTTCTTGTAGTAATCAGTTGGCCTGCCTATATAGTTTTGTATTTTTCCTGTCGGTCTTTCTTTCAGGACATAACTTCTGTTCTTCTGGCTACTCCAGGCTGGTCTGCTTGTCCTTTCAAGTGGACCTTTCCTCTCAGAAGATTCTGGATGCTGTTCAGGATTCCATCTATGGTCTTGTGTAATGCAGGGGCTCCACAGGAAGCCTCCTTCACTGGGCACGTTGTATCTCCCTTTTAGGTATTCCAATCAGTTATAAGCAGAAGACAGACTTACAAGCTTTCTATGGTGGTACTTCTGGCTCTTTCTTTCTCTCCTCCTCCAGTGTCTATACTATAGCAGTATGCCAAGGAAACCAAGATTCAGCAGACAGCCAAGCAAGTAAAATTCTACTAAAGAGAATGTTTATGTCTATAGCCAAACACTGACAGAAAACTTGCAGAGGTTCAAGTCAGATTCAGAAGATGACATGGAACAAGGGATATCACTGTTGATGTCACATGGATCTTGGCTGAAAGCAGAGACGATCAGAAAGGTGTTTATCTACACTTTATTGACTATAAGAAGGCTTTAGATTCTGTGGATCATGACAAACTTTGGATAGCATCGTAGAGAATAAGTTTTCTGGAACATTTAATTGTGGCTCAGACTAGGAGGCGGTTGTTTGAACAGAACAAGGGAACATTGAATGGTTTAAAATTAGGGCAGTTTTGCACCAGGGTTGCATTCTTTCACCATACTTATTTGACCCGCATGCTGAACAAATAATCCGAGAAGCTGGATTCTATGAAGAAATACGTGGCATCAGGACTGGAGGAAAGCTCATTAACAACCTGCAATATGCAGATGACACAACCTTGCTTGGTGAAAGCAATGAGGACTTAAAAAGCTTACTGAGGAAAAGCAAAAACCACAGTCTTGGGTATGGGTTGCACCTTAATGTCAAGAAAACACAAATCCTCACCACTAGACCAATAACCAACATCCATATAAATGGAGAAAAGCTTCATCTTGCTGGAATCAACCATCAACATTCATGGAAGCAGTAGTCAAAAACTCAAACAACATATTGCATTAGACAAATCTGCTGCACAAGACCTCTTTAGAGTACTGAAGAGCAAAAACATCAGTTTGAGGACTAAGGTGCACACCTGACCCAAGCCTTGGTATTTTCAATAGCCTCATATACATGGGAAGTTGGACAGTGAATTAGAAAGACGGTTGAAAAAATGATTCGTTTGAGCTATGGTGATGGAAGAGAATACTGAAAGCACCATAGACTTCCAAAAGAACAAATGAGTCTATGTTGGAAGAAGTGCAGCCAGAGTGCTCCTGGGAAGCCAGGATGGCCAGACTTCGTCTCTCATACTTTGGACATATTGTCAGGAGGGACCAGTCCCTGGAGAAGGATATCATGTTTGATAAGGTGGAGGGTCAGAGAAAAAGAGGAAGACTCCCAATGAGATAGAGGACTGGCATAGTGGCTGCATCAACAGGCTCAAATGTAGCAACAATTGTGAAGTTGGCACAGGGCAGGGCAGTGTTTCATTCTGTTGTGCATAGGGTTGCTATGAACCAGTATCAACTCAATGGTACCTAATAACACCACAAAATTCTAAAATACCAACTACTGTCCTCAATTAAACTCACACATGAAAATAAATGGCTTTGGCTGGCCACGGTACTGGCTTACCTTAAATTATTCCTCCACACAAAATCAACATGAGGCCAAGCACCTGGGACATAACCCTCAGCAACAAACTGCTCATTATCTATACACGTGGCTCTCACCTTTATCTGACTTCTCATCCACAGAATATTTAAAAAACTTCTGTCGTTCTTCAGCTTGATTCCAGAGACTAAGGCCTCGGAGGAGCTCAGCTGTGTCCTTGTGAGAGCAGTGCTGAGCTATCACTTTCTTTTTGATATCCTTGAGCTCCTCGTAAGTAAAGTATTCCATTAACATGGGCTGGAAAACCTAAACAACACACAGACACTTCATTAGCCATGTTTATGTCCTTCAAATTATCAATTGCTCAAGGTGACGAATTCTGACTCAAGAAATTAGTCTTCCACACAACAATTCGTGTATCAAAAAACGGTAGTCACCAAATAGATCCTTGTTTCCATGGCTACCCAAGCTGTTAAGTCAAGCCCCACATAGTGCAGGCCCAGTGCAGTTTGTCCAACACTCTTAATCATTTCCTCCATGTTGAACACTGAGGTCAGTTCATGCCTTCTGGGGAGGATGGTGGCTCCATAAGATAAACAATGGACTTTGAATAGCAAAGTCCACAGTTCAAGCCCGCCAGCCGCTCAGCAAGAAAAAGATGAGACTTTCTTCTCCCACAAATATTTAAAGACTCAGAAACCCTATGCAGGGTCATTATGACTCAGAACCATCTCCACAACACACCACCACCCCCACCACCACCCAAACAAGGTCTCTGTGTCAATCAGGATGGGACCAGCTGATGCCAACCAAATAAATATTGACCCTAGTCAATACTGTTTCTGGGTTTTGGAGGAGACATTGCCTCAGACATTACTCTAGAACAGTGCTTCATATTAAGAATTTTCTAAAGAAATTAATTTTTCTACAAAATAGATGCTTAGCCCCAGCCTCCAATTTACATAATAAGAATCTTTAGAGGTGCTACAGAGCCAGTGTGTTTTCTATAGGTAATTATGATGTGCATCATGGGTTATGAAATGTGGCACCAGTAACTTGGGGTTTCAACCTGGCTCCAAGTTACAATGACTGGAGAAGCCTTTTAAAAATTACCCATGTCAATGCCTCCCACCTGATTTCATTTCGATTTGATTGGTCTGGAGACGGCTTAGAAGTAGGCTGTTTGGTTTCCATTTGTTAACTACCAGGCTGATTATGTCATCACAACTGAGAATCACTATAGTAACTGATTTATAGCTCAACAAGTACTCAGTTTCTGTCTTATTCCTTACTGTAATATTCATTTCACTGAATAAAAAAAGAAGAGATTGGGGAAAAGTTTTGCTCATTCATTCAGTGATATCTAAATGCTCGAATACCAAGCATAAGGCTGGTGTTTACACCAAAATCCCATTGCAACTCCAACTCATCATGACCCAGTAGGGCAGGTTCGAACTACCTCATAGGGTTTCCAAGGCTGTAATCTTTATGGAAGCTGAATGCCACATCTTTCTCCCTCCAAGTGGTTGGTGGGTTTGAACTGCCAAACTTTTAGTTAGTGGCCGAGTTCTTAACCACTACCCCACCACGGCTCACTGACAGCTTTAAAATCATTTCATTACTAAAATCTACTACTGCAGAAATGAACACTACACTTACCATGAAAATATTTTAAAGTTTAAAGACTCTTCCTAAAAATAGCTTTATATGAATTAAAAAACCAGTGACATGGGGTCTCCTAGGACTCCTAGTGACCCTGTACAGGGTTTCTGAGGTGGAAGCAGAAAGCATCATCCTTCTCCTACAGAGAGACTGGCGGGTTTGAACTGCTGACTTTGTGGTTAGCAGTCCAACACCTAGCCCACAACATCACCAAGGCTGCTTGAAAAGACATTATTAAGTACTGTCGAGTCAGTTCCGACTCACAGCAACCCTGTATAGGGTTTCCAAGGAACGAATGGTGAGTCTGAACTGCTGACCTTGTGGTTCAAACCAACCTTGTGGTTGAGTGATTACCCTACGGCACCTCGTCAGAACTCCTGAAAAGATGTTAGGGTGACACAAGAAGCTACTAACATTCAACACAGTGCCACCCATAAGAACATACAGATTTACTGAGCAAGCAAATCACATTCATTCAAAGAAAAACAACTCAGCGGGAAAAAAAATGAATGCTTTCTTTAAGGACTTTTCTTCAGTCCCCAAGATGAACTTATCCTCTCCAACCAGACCTACCTCCTGTGCACTGGTCTGAAGTACCTGTCAACGGTGATGGGGACAGGGCAGCATTCCATTCTGGCATACACAAGGCCACCAGGAGCCAGAGTGACCCAACTCCATCTCACACCACCTTGTACAGGGATCCCGGGGAGCAGCTGGGGGAACTAAACCGCCAACCGTACCGTCTGCAGTCTGCAGTCTGCAGTCTAATGATTACCCTACAGCACACCACACAGGGTTCATTCACATCAATAACAAAAGGCAAAATCATTCCTGAAAACAATTTTTACAAATCAAAATCACGAAGGAAAACAATTATGCTTACCTCCTCTTCCTCCTTCATATGAGGAAGAAAATCACTTGTAAAGGCCTCCAATCTCTCTTTCAGCTGTTTTGCGTAATTTAACTGCTCATATTCGTTCTAGAAATAAACAGAAAAATATTTGTACTTTAACAACAGTTTTTATTTATTTATATGGTACCTGACCTGACTTCAGGCAGTCAGTTTAAAATGCAACATGAAAATCTCTGCAGCAATGAGGCTGACCAACAGCAAAGTGGGAGTTATAATCTTCGTAATCTAAAAGATTACGATATGCAGATGATACAACCTTGCCTGCTGAAAGTGAAGAGGACTTAAAACATTTAATGATGAAGATCAAAGAGCACAGCCTTTGGTGTGGATTACATTTCAATGTCAAGAAAACAAAAATCCTCACCACTGGACCAATAAACAACCTTCTTATCAATGGGGAAAAGAATGAAGTTGTCAATGACTTCATTCTTCTTGGATCAACTGTCAACACTCATGGAAACAGCAGTCAAGAAATCAGACGACATATTATATTAGGCAAATCTGCTGCACAAGACCTTTTTAAAGTGTTGAAGAGCAAAGATGTCAGCTTGAGGACTAAGGTGCACCTGACCCAAGCCATGGTACTTTCAATAACCTCATATGCATGCGAAAGCTGGACAGTGAATAAGGAAGACTGTAGAAGAATGGATGCCTTTGAGTTATGGTGTTGGAGGAGAATACTAAAAGTGCCATGGGCTGCCCATAGAACCAATAGATCCGTTTTGGAAGAAGTGCAGCCAGAGTGCTCCTTAGAGGCCAAGATACTTCAGACATACTGTCAGGAGGGACCAGTCGTTGAAGAAAGATATCATGTTTGATAAGGTGGAGGGTCAGAGAAAAAGAGGAAGACCCCCAACGAGACGGACTGGCCAAGTGGTACCATCAGTGGACTTAAGCGTGGCAACAGTAGTGAGGTTGGCCCAAGATCGGGCAGTGTTTCGTTCTGCTGTGCAAAGGTCGCTATGGGTCAGTACCTACTCGATGGCACCTAACAACAACAACCTAAAAGATGCACATGAAACAGTCAACGCTGAAATCCTGTAGCAATGTGATCCCATTCCTTTTTAAGTTTTCACACGCAAAGAACAGTGTCTGTGTTCAAACCTTCTAGTGATTTCTAATGCCTATGTTAACATAATTTCTTCAATGTCTTCTTACCATATCTCAGAGAGGTCAATAGAGCATACTGGTCTCTCTCCTTACAGAAGCCCCTTAAGACCCCTTTACGGAGCCCTGTTGGCACGGTGAGTTCGGCGTTGGTCTGCTAATGCAAGTCATCATTACAAACCCACCAGGTGCTACCCTGGAGAAAGATGAAGCTATCTGCTCCCAAAAAGATTTACAGTCTCGAGGCTGACTCCATGGCAGTGGGTTTGGTTTGGGGGTTAGTGGATCCTCAGGAACCCTGGTGGCTCAATGACTAAGCGATCAGTTATGAACCGAAAGCTGGCTGTTGAAGCCACCAGAGGCTCAGTGGAGAAAGCTGTGGCATCAGGTCCCATAAAGACTTACAGGCTTGGGAACTATGGGGCGGTTCTACTCTGTCCTACTGGGCTGCTTTGAGTCAGAACTGACTCGATGGCAATGAACTCCTATGTTTATAATTGTTGTTAAGTGCCCTAAAGCTGTGTATAGTACGTATGTGCAATGAAGACTAAACTCTCTAGATCCTATTGTTAAGAGCCATCACCTCGGCTCCAACTCAAGAGACCCTGTATAGGGTTTAAGAGAAGTTGGTGGGTTTGAACTGCTGACTTTGTAGTTAGCAGTCCAGTAGGAATCTAACAGTGCCACCCAGGACTCCGTAAAATGCAGGTGAGCACTCATTTCTGGTATGACTGCACCGGGTTCAAGGTGTTGTTGCCAAAAGTCGTCGACTCAGTTCCAACTCATATAGTGACCCTGGGGCTAGAGGGTTTGAACCACTGACCATGTGGTTAGCAGTCCAGTGCTTAGCCTACAGCACCACACTATTATCATTATCCTAAACTACACTAAAAACCAAAAATCCAAAATCTACTGCTATGGAGTTTCACTATAGCAACTGCATACAAGGCTTCTGAGATTATAAATCTTTTCAGGAGTTGACAATCTCATCATTTCCCCTCAAAGTGGCTGGTAAGTTTGAACTGCCAACCTTGAGGTTAGTAGTCCAATGCCTAACCCACAGCATCACCACCATTAATTTTATATTACACAATTTAAAACGTTTACCCCTGCTCATTGCCAACAATAAATATAAATATATATACATTAAAAAAAGAGAGAGCGAGAGTAAGAGTGAGTACGTGTGTGTGTCCTAGTGTGGCGCTATGTGTTAACGCACTGGACTACAAGGTCAGTTTGAACCACAAGGTCGGTGGTTCAAGCTCACCAGCTGCTCCTTGGAAACCCTATACAGGGTCGCTATGCATTGGAATTAACT